GTCATCAGAAAGCTCCTCAATCATTAAATCAGATGCATTTGAATCAGACTCACACTCTCCCTCTTGTTGGTCACTAGATATTCCTTGAATGAAATTCACTTCCATGGGTTCATCAAATGGATCACTAGGATGTCTCCCTAAGTTGAAGATATTGAGGTCAACAGTCATATTCCCAAAAGATAGTTTCATCTGACCGGTTCTACAGTTTATCAAAGCATTTGAGGTGGCTAAGAACGGTCTTCCTAGAATGACGGGGATTTGACTTTTGAGATTGGAAACGGGCTGCGTTTCCAAGACAATAAAATCAACAGGGAAAATGAACTCTCCAACTTTGATCAGAACATCCTCTACCTCTCCTTTGGGAATTTTTACAGATCTATCAGCTAACTGTAGAGTGCATCTTGTAGGTTTAAGTTCTCCTACACCTAGCTGTTGATAGACCGAATAAGGAAGGAGGTTGACACTGGCTCCTAAGTCTAGAAGTGCCTTATCAATGTGAGTGTTACCTATGACGCATGGAATTGTGGGACAACCAGGATCCTTATATTTTAACGGCATTGGTTTCGAAAAGATTTCACTGAGGTTGGCAGCTAAGAAGACTTTCTTGGGAACATTGGTGGTTCTTTTCTTAGTGCATAAGTCCTTCAAGAACTTTGCATAAGAAGGGATTTGTTCGATTGCATCTAGAAGAGGGATGTTAATCTTGACCTGTTTGAATGTTTCTAGGATTTTCTCAACCTGCGGGGAGTTTTTCCTAGGTTTGAGTCTATCTGGAAAGGGGGCAACGGGCCTATACCTATCTAGATCAGGCTCAATCTCAAGTTCAGCATTTTGGTCATCAGAAGGAATTAATTCATCGGAAGGAGTGTTTTGAATGGGAGAAGGGGTTTGATCCGGTGGCATTCTAACCTGATTGTCTATTTGTTTTCCTGATCTCAGAGTGTGAATTGCATTCAGTTGAGCTGGGTTGTTGGAACTGGATCCAGTGTCTTTAGGGTTTGCAACAGGTTGACTTGGAAATTTTCCTTTTTCTCTCTCACTCACGGCAGCGGCTAGTTGCCCAAGTTGGGTTTCTAACCGGGCTATGGCTTGTGTGTTCGAGTTGAGCACTTGGCCGGTGGTTTGCATGAATGAATTTAGAGTGGTGGATGATTGGGTCAACATGTTGGTAGTTTGTGTAGAAGCTTTGATCATAGCTTCTAAACCCTTTTCTAAGACACTCAAACGTTTGTCATGATCAGAATTTGAAGGATTTGTATGCTGGTGAGGATGAGGATGTTGGTTTGGAAAAGGTGGGTTAGAAAAATTGTTCGGTGCGTTGAATGGGACAGCGTTTCCCCTAGGGAATTGTTGGTTCGACGCAGGAATGAAGTTTTGGTTTCCATGAGAATTTCCTTGGTTCCAAGCAAAATTGGGATGATTTCTCCAACCTGGATTGTAGGTTGGAGAAAATGGATCATTTCTAGGGCGCTGGAATGCAGCGTTCATCTGTTCTAAAGCATGGTTGTTTCCTAGAAGAGGACATTCCTCTGAAACGTGGGTAGGAGACTGACAGTTATGACATCCCGGGGCAGAAATATGATTGATTTGAGCCGGAGCTCGTTCCTTAACTTCTAAGGCTTCTAACCTCCGCATAATCGTCGCCATCTTCGCTTCAGACGCAATGTTTGACTCCAGGGAAAGACCACTAGACTTAGATTGGGAAACAGATGAAACTCTGTCATCACAGTTTTCCCACTTCATTGTTTTCTCGGATAGACTCTCTAGGAATTCCCAAGCTTTATCGGCGTTTTTTCTCATAAAATCTCCCTGACACATCGATTCTAAAGATGTTTTTGAAGAATAGTCCAATCTTTCATATATGACTTGGCACAATCGCCATTTTTCTAGACCGTGATGAGGACATTGGATTAAAAGATCTTTAAATCGGTCAAAGTATTTCCAGAATGGCTCTCCTGGGATAATTTTGAAATTCTGAATGTTGTTCCTAAGCTTTACCGTTTTGTGAATAAGGAAAAATTTCTTGAGAAAAACGGTGACAAATTCCTCCCAAGTTGAGATGGAATTTATCGGTAAGCTGTACAGCCATTTTTTAGCTTTGTCCTTAAGAGCAAATGGAATAAATCTGAGCTTAATTGCATCTTCGGTTAATTCTCTCATTTTAATCATAATACATACTTCCTCAAATTCCGAGATAAATATATATATGCATCTTCTGTTTCATTACCTAGGAGTTTGGGAAGCATGTTTATAAAATGCGGTCTAAGCTCGAAATTTGCTCCATTTACTTTGGGGAGTCTTATGCAAGATGGAATTACATTTCTGGTGGGGTAACACATATCCTGAAGAACTGGTTGATTTGCCATTTCTTGGATTGGTTCAACTCGGATTAAGCGATGAAAATTATCCCGAACCTAAATTTGCATACACCAAAACAAATTTTTTTTAAGGAAAGAAAGAAAATTAGTTTTTTTTTAAAGGAAGAAAGAAAGAAAATTAGTTTTTTTTTAAGGAAAGAAAGAAAGATAGTTTTTTTTTCTTTTAAGGAAAGAAAGAAAATTAGTTTTTTTTTTATAAAGGAAAGAAGAAAGAAAATTAGTTTTTTTTTTTAATATGAGAAGATAAAGAAAAAGAAAAATCCTAACTAAAACAAATCAAGGCAATCACTTTTCAATCAACTCTAACTCTAGGGTTTAGCCTAACTCCACTAGACCAGCTCCTAACCAAAAATTCCTACAGTGAAAAGATCAAAGTTTTACCCAGATAGTTAGCCAGGTAAGGATAGTACTAGAGGGTGATCAAAGATCAATTAAGTACATCTTTCCTTGCGGAGCGCTTTACGCAACCCCTAAACATTACCTTAGACACTAACTATTCTGAGAAAACTTAAACCGTTCACTTAAGGATTTCTTGTTCCTTATTGAGCTCGAATCCTTAGGGGCCAACGTCTAATGAGTTTTAGAAGGCTTGGATTTGTGAAGTGAGGAATTAGTGATTTGTGGGCTAAGGAAAAGGTAATGAAATCCCTTACCTTATCTTGATTGGGGTTTTGCCCTTAAGAATGTTTTAAGTGTGTGCCAAATCAAGTGCTACAATCACTTTGGTGAATTCCTACACTATATGAAATGCAACCCTAGAAATTAAAAGCGACTAAAAAGGATGATAAAAAGAAAATCTTTTTTTTTAATTATGGTCAACAACAAGCAAATGTGAGAAGATGATTCATGTTTGAATTTATTATCTTGTTAGTTAATGTCCAAGTGAAAGATGAATTTTATTATGGTCAACAAAAATAAAATCTTTTTTTTTTAAATCCTAATTGTCTCTAATTGTGAAGCTAGCTAAAGAGGGTGGAATTGAAAACTAGAAAGAAGACTTACCCGAAAGCAATGCTCCAAATTCTTGATCTTCAATCCAAGATTTTCAAGCTCCAAGCGGTTCCTTCACAAGAAAAATACACAAGTTAAAGAATCAAGTTAATAAAATCCTATTTTAGCACCTTCCCCGGCAAGCCAAAAACTTGATGAGGCATAATTATGTACCAAAATTGTAAGTGCACAATTTATCAAGTTATAGTATAAAAAGATATTGATCCCACGAGGAAGGTGATTTTAAGAGATTTTATCAAGTTATAGTATAAAAAGATATTGATCCCACGAGGAAGGTGATTTTAAGAGATTATTAGAAATGATTCTTATGTTTTGTGCATGACAATTAGGAATAAAGAATAAGTGTGATTGTGATGAGTGGTTGTTTTGATTTATGTGCAAGAGATAATAAATTGAATTTTAGAGGAAAGAATGAAGAATTAAAGAATAAATGAAATCACAATGCAAGAAAGATGAATGAATAAAATCAAGAAATAAAACAAGAATGAAAAGAAAATTTAAGAAAGTTAAGATGGAGGATTCAAAAGAGGTAAGAAATCTAGAATATAATCCACTAACTAATTTCAATTACA